TCCTGCATATGAACACCTAACCCCCTACCAGAGACTGCAAGTGCTGAGACTTCAGACACACTCCTAATGGCTGACAATATCAAACCAATTCTTTTCCCGATGCCCTTCCTTCCTGATCACCCTGTAACCTCTGTAAATACATTTATTTCCAGCAGCAGTGGTTTAACAAGCACCAGAAATTTCAAATTTAACTCCTGTGAGTAAATTTTTCTTCCTTCATGTTTGCCAGATTGGAGACCATTACACAGATGGCAAGGAGCTGCTAGAGTGTTGCAGTCCAAACCTGTAGACAGTCAGACAGCTGCTGTGATGTATGTAGTCTTTCAGGAGAAGAGACACTACACTGCTTTATTTGAATTGACACAAAACATTGATCTTTGTGTTTTGCAGCATGTAATGGAAGTCCTGCCCGTAGAGCCCAAGGCCTGTGGCTCTCCAAGTGCCTGCACCTTCAGTCTGCTCATCACTATAGTCCATACCTTGGATTGCACTGGTACCTCAGCTGGGTGAGAGCAAACACAGACTGCAGGGCATTGCAATAAATCAGTATCTGCAGAGGCCATTGAGAATGAAGAGCATGAGGCAACGAAAAGCCAGGTGAATTGCCTGACTCTAGGTCGTGGTCTGTACTCACTGAGCACTCACTGGGGTGGATCCTGACGTACTCATTAACCTGGCTGATATGCAATGCCTGACTGCTATGCAAGCAGCCATGAGCTGGTGGTGGGAGTGAGGGCAAGAAAGCACGACACAGGCAGAGTAGCAAGCAGAAAAAATAGTCTGCCCATCAGAAGTGCTCAGAGGTAGCAAGCTATAGCCTACAGGCTTAGGTCCAGGTTGAGTCCAGAACTCCATGTCTCTAGCATCTTGCACCAATATATATGCATGAGTGCATAAAAAATAAAAAAACAATTAGGTGACCAAAAAAAGTCATTAGCTTCTGCTTCTGTCAGACACAGAGGGGGTGCAAGGCAAAAGCACTGTTGGGGTGCCATCATAGCCAGTAAAGAATCACATCATGGGCGAGCTAAGGTGACCATTCTGATCAGTACAGCGCCTTGGAGATACAATGACAATTTAAGTGTAGCTATAAGTCCCTCTCTTTGTTTTGACAAGTTTCCAACTTCAACAGCACAAGCATCATGCCTCAGCAGGACCAGATCTGTGCATGCACCCTTTGACCATCTTGTAACAGATGTTCTTGCAACCACAAGCAGCTCTAGCTCCAAATCACAGCCACAGCGAGTTGTTCTTCATCCATCTCTCTGCCTGTGCCAAAGCTCTTGCTGTTTCTGACCTCATATTTTATCAGCCGATGGGGCTTGATAAAAGGAACATGCCACCTCCAGTGTGATTTGATGATCGTACATCACAGTGGGATCTCACCAGTAACAATCCGCCCTTCCCAAGGCACTGAGAGTCTTTTATTGGCTGCCCACTGCCCTTAAGCTGCACATCAAGGAGACAAGAAAATGTAATAAATCTGAGAGCCATTTTAGTGAATCAAAGGGAGAGATGAGGGTGTCTCTGGTTGTGTGGGTTTCAGAACAATTATGGGATTGAGTCATGCTGCAAATTTGTTGGAGTCACTGATGTGGACTACTAGAGAAGCCACAGTGTGTGAAACTGCCTTTGCCATAAACCATTTAATGTGCTGGCTATGAGGGCACAGGACTGTATGAGTATAGTGGGGAAAATATGGGAGATTCATAGAGCTCCAGCAAAGAGAACTAGTTTTAGGATGGAATGATTTTAATGTTAGGGCAGGACCGAAGGGGACAGAGCAATCATTTTCAGAAGCTCTTGCTCCCCTGTTATTTATAGGGCTTTAAACCCTGTGTTGGGTTGTGTGATGAGAAGAGAGGGAGGGAGGGGAACGTCTTATGAGCTGTACCATGTAAGGGCAGGTTATGACAAAGACTGCAGCAGGTGAACAAGCTTTCTTAGAGAGGAACATTTGCACACATGGTCCTGCTTTCACAGTCTACCCTTTGACCACTGTAGAGCATGATTCCTCCTCTGCTCCAGGGACATTCAGTCAAGGAGTCACAGACCATGACCAAACATCCCTGTGAGAGGTTATGCCAGGACGCCCAGCATGTGTGATTGTCCCTAGCTTTGGTGAGCCCTGTGGTCACAGTGTGAGACATGACAGACCTGTGTTTGGCTGTGCAGCAGCAAAGCTGAGGAGTTAGTCCTGGGATGATAGCATCTGGATTTGTAATATCTGGCACATTCATATACCAGATGTATGGATTACACATACAGAGCTAGAAAGCCCCTAAGCTAACAGACACATAGTTTAAATACAATGGACACAAATACTATCTCACTTTCACACTGAAGGACTGAAGCAAAAATCTTGCTTCCCTCACTTAATCATGTCTTACACGGTACATAAAATTATCCTCTTTGCACTGTATTCACCACAACTTTGACAGCCTCTAAACACCTAAGAAAGCCTGGCTATGTATTTTACATTTTGTATGTGCTACAACCACATAAAATTTAAGAAAGTATTGGAGGATTCCTGTTTGTCCTTTAATTGGAATTAATCTTTTACTCCTTTGATTTAAAGAAGTTCCTTGTCATTCTCTCTTTCAGGATATCACCTCAGCTGTGTCAGCCACATGGCATTAAAGATGAACACAATTTTATTACTTATCTGTGGTGTTAATTTTATTTTTCCATTTCCTGTGTTGAAATCACAAAATGATAGAACATCCCCACCCTAAAAAAACCCAAATGATGATACTTGTAAGATAATGGTAAGGGATGTGGCAAGCAAAAGTAGGTTAACAGACTGAACTACACTTATTTTGCATCAGTTATAAAGCAGTCTTGTGAATTGTCCTTAATTGGTTTTGGTTATGTCAGGCCTTTATTTAATTCTCCATCACTTTCAAGAGCCCTGAGGTAACACACTTCACAGAGAATATTCTGACTTGAAAATGCAGTATTGTTGAGCAGAAAGACTTACTGAGCAGACTGCTAGTTTCTTTCAGCAGCAGGAGAGATCCAGGAGGTGATTAGCTTTGTTCTCATTTACAAAGCACCAGTGGGAATTTCTAAAGGGTTTCACAGGCCCTGGGGATAAGGCCAAGAACAAAACAGGGCAGTGAAAAGCAAATAGAGCACTTCATCAATAAACTACTTAGAGATGCCACATCAATAGCAAATTAGGAAAAAAGGAAGGCACTTTAATACTTTCACATAGCAAAGGAGGTTTATATATTGTTTTTATTCCTACTTGACTTTTTTTAAACAACGGCACCTCTATCAAACTAAGCTTAGCAAAGGGAATAGAGGTAATACCAACTCACCACCAGGCTATTTGATAAGACTTGAAAGGGAGAGATGCACTGCTTTGTGCTAGTTCTACAGTGCTGACCTCTCCCAGGGGTTACTACCGCCAGGAACTCCATCCTCGGAAAGGCTGAGAAAAGAGCGTACCAGTGGCAAAAGGCTACCAGGAACTAACTGCCTGACTGCTTACCAAAGATGTAAAAGTACTGCTGTCATAGCACCCCCTGCCCACATGTTGCCGCAGAGGACACCATTGGCTCACCAGACATAGGTGTGGATGGAAAGCTAAACAAAAGCGGAAGGCAGAGAGTATGTCATTAGTACCTCATTTTTGATTAATAAATGGTACTTCTAAAAGATTTATTGCCCCTAACTAGAGAGGGGTGGGGAAATCAACATTTAAAATAATTCTACAGCTGGTGTGAAATCAGCACAGGTTTATCAATCTTTTAATGGTAATGATGTTGAGGCATTTTGTTTGGATTGTAATGCTGCAATAAACCACTAGCAATTAGTTTATTTTTCAAATAAGAATCTCACTTTTAACCTGCCTGAAAACAAGAGTTCTTCTAGGCTGAAGCCTCCCCTCCCCCTCCCAATCATTTGTCAATTTATTTACTTTTTGTTCAGATGATTAAATAAACCACACAAAAATAAACCCTGCTTCAACTTGTATTTTCAAGTTTGCACCAGCTTCAAAACCATCCTACATCAACCTTGTTCAACAGCAGCTGATAGAGACTAAAGGAAAGAGCAACAGAGGGAATTTCACAGCTGCATCATACAGTCTCAAACAGGGCTGCTGCAAACCCACTTCATCATCCTGCTTGTGTTCACGACCTTCTGCATGACTTCAACTGCTCTGGAGTCACATTCTGATGACAGGAACAAAATGGGAAACAACAGAGAGAAATACATCAACTAATTTACTCCTTGAAGCATGAAATAGGATGATGTTTCAGTAACCATTTACAGCCACAGAGTTTAGAAGATATAGGGTTTATCCTGTTTTGAGGTGGTATTTAAAACAGGAAGGTCCATTTGGACTGATGCTCCTTACATGGGATGGTTTTTACCAACAACCAGGCCTTACTGGAAACCCATCTGTCTCCTAACATGTCCCCAGTGCTTGGGGTTTTTTGCCTTGTGGGATTCTTGCCAAAACAGCCGAGCATTTGAAAGACATCTGCATGCTTGGTATGGGAGGCTTAAGGTGCAGCTCCTCAGTCTTCGTAAGCAATGCCAAGAGCTTTTCTCTTGCTGCTCCATTGTTCCAGGGAACTGAGTGTACCATGGCTCTTCCTGCGGAACGTTTCATACCGAGCGCTGCCTGCGAAGCCTCCCAGGCACAGATCATCATGTATGCACTCGAGCTGGCAGGCAGGTAACTTCACAGAGGATCCGTGCCAGCACCCTGCAGTCAGTCTCCTGTCATTTTGACCTGCCATGTTCCACAGCTCCCACACCATCCAGCTGAGGGATGAGCTCAGACAGGATTCTGGAGCACAACTGCTTTCGACTGTTGGGTACACAGCCCAGCACAAGAGCGGGTCCCGGCAGGGTACCCCGCAAGGCACTGCCGGCCCTGCCCCTCTCCCCGCACGCCGGGGCGGTGTCTCTGTGTCTCTGTGTCTCGGTGTCTCGGCCCCTCGGCCGCCCCGCCCCGCCCGCCCCCCGCGCGGCACGCCGGGCCAGCATGGCCGCCTGCCGGCCCGCGGGGAGCCGGCATCGCCGCTGATACACAGCGCCCACCGCGGGGCCGCCCCGCGCCGCCCGGCATGGAGGAGAGCTCCAGCTGCGAGAGCCTCGGCGCCGGGCGGGCGGCGGCGGCGGCGCGGCCGCCCAGCGGCGACTCCCTGTCCAGGTAATGCCGCCGCAGAGCCGTCACCGCCCGCCCGCCCGCGGGGCGCCGGGGCCGCCGCTGCCGCAGCGCCGCGGGACTCGGCCCTCAGGGACCACCGCGGGGCCTGGGGGGAGAGGGAGGGGCCGGCAGGGGAAAGCAAACCGAGGGGATATGGGGCTGGTGCCTTTTCTCCCTCTGTGGGCCGGAGGCTCCGGCGTTTCCCCAGGGTCGGGTCTCTCCCGGCGGGGAGCCTCGGGAGTGTCCCTGCGGTGGGGGTGGCGGTGCAGGACGGCAGGCATGGGCACCGCTCTGCTGCGGCACAGCAGGTTTCTCTTTCAGGCCTTTGGTCAGAGCAGGAGGTGCCAACCGCACCAGGCTCTCGGTAAATCCGTGCATAGCCAAGGCGGTGCTCCTGCCCTGGATACCTGCGGTGAAGGGATTTGTGAGGTCGGCAGCACAGGTGGGCGCTGCTGGAAGGGCAGGTACGGCACCCGGTTGGTAGCTGCCTTCGTGCTCTCTGCCTTGCCCGTGCCAGGCCTTGTCCTCTGCTTCTTCAGGAACACATTTCCTATGGTGTGTTGAGCGTTTGTGGTTTTGCCCTTATGGCTTTTTCTGAGAGTTTGATTTTTGTGGTCTCAGTGGCTTTTAATGCCACGTGTGTAATATTCAAGGTCTTTAAGCCGCGGAAGCCAAAAGGAAACTTTCGTGTTCCTCCCATCCTTCGCAGGCTGTCGGTGAAATTTGATTTTTGTGACTTGAAAGCGCATCTCTTTTGGGCCATGTGTTTGATGGAGGAGGGTGTGGTAGGAAGGACACTGACAGACTGGCATGGACTGTGGCATGGGAGGGCCTGGGTGTTGTGGTAGAGCAGGGATACCTGGGAGCAAGATGACCTGATGGCTGCTAAAGGTTGTTCTGTCCCATACTGGCTGCACTTGCCATGCCCAAGTTGTAAGATTATATGGTAACTCAGGATGAAGGGATCTCTGCATCCCTCCGTCCAGCCTCCTGCTCACAGCAGGGGCAGCTCTAAGATCGGATCAGGCTGGTTTGGGCTTTTACTCAGACTGGTCTTGAAAACCGACAAAGATGAAATGCACAGAACCTCCTTGGGCAGCTCATCGGCATCTCCTGCATACCTTCCACATAGGCACTGAGGCTGCTCCAGGCTCCCATAGTCTCTCCTCATAGGCAGGTTGCTCCAGCTCCACTATCCCAGCGGTGCTTCCCTGAACTCCTTCCAGCACATCAGTGTCTTTCCTACACTGGAGGGCTAACACCTGGATGCAGTGTTCCGGAAGCACTGTAATGAGATCCTTTCCCAGATCTCCTGGCTCTGCCTCTGTTCTTACAGCCCCCATGGTGCTGGTGGCCACTTTCCTGCCAGCGTCTCTGTACTCCCTTGTTAGGCTTTGTATTGGTTTCCTTGTGCAGTTTACCAGTGTCCTGCCAGATGCCTACAGGCCTCTTTCTCCCTTACCTAACTGACCCAATATATTCTTCTTTTTTCCTCTGCATCAGCTCAGGCAACTTGGACCCATATGGAGGTCAGTCACTGTAAGAGGCCTGTGGACACTAAAGAGAGCTTAACTCAGAAGAGCCAGTGGCTACAAGGAAGCTCCTGTTCAGCCTCTCAGCAGCATGCCCTGCACAGATGGAACTGTTGGGAAATTGAGATGATAAATCTGTTTCTGTTGAGCATGCACAAGGCTGTGTCCTCCAAGCCCTGAAAAGGCCCAGACTTTAACAGATTTCTTGGGATATAAAAAAGCTTACTCAAAAGCTTTCAGAATTTCAAGTCTCTGCTCGAACATCTAGAACCCATAGAAGAAAGCTGGTCAATTTTTTTTATGTGTTCCAAACAAAATATATTTTTTTCTAGCCAGGTGTTTGAAATAGATGAATTATTTACATCTGTAATTATTAATAAAAAACTCTCATCTTGATTTGGCGTATGCTGTGAAACTTTTTAGTTGAAATGGTCAAGATTAGGGCAAAATTATAAGACAGAAAAATAAGGTTCTTCTAGTGAGAGATGCCTGGTGACCTTCAGAATGTTTATTATCAGATCCCTGTGCAAATCTAGTGATGCTTACGCACAAATAAATAATTTTATATGAATTAGACAGTACATCGATTTTTTTTTATCATTAAAGCTGTTCTGCAATCTGATTTTATGCATCAGAACAATTCCTCTAAAGCTAATGGGACAATTTGTATGCACTGAAATGTAGTTATTTTCATGCTGTGTTTGTGATCTAATAGTTTGTGATCATAGGTTACAATCTAATAGTCAAGCTATTAGATTGTAACCTATGACTGTGACACATTTTTACCAAGTGATTTTGTTTAAAACGAAGAAGTTAGCTTTGGGGGTTGATGTGGGGAGCATAGTGAATCATGAGGGTGCTGTCATCAGTTTTTATAATCCATTTTGTTTAAAAGGAACAAAACCCAAGAAATGAGTAGAAGGTCACTCATCCCAGAATCGCAGTTACCCAGCCACGTGAAACCTTACTGAGTTGTAGTTGCTGAATTGTTTTACACAAGATTTAGAAGACTTGGAAGGGTGCTAGTATGAAATACATACAGCAGTGCACTCCTTGGATTCTCTCAGCTCCAGGTTGGAAGTGTTATATTTCTAGAGGTACTTAAGATCTAACTCCTCGAGAAGACATGCTTGATAGAGTTTACTTATACTTAAGGTTGCTCACATTCAAATAAGTGCCTTAAAGAACTTATGTAAGTTTATTTGTGTTTTAGTAATGCCCATGAGAGACAGCAGTAATGGCATTCAACCGTGAAAGTTGCTCTGATATTTTAGTAGACTAAAGTAATGTGCAATACCTGTGGGCCTTGAGGAAGATGTGGGAATAACTAAACAAGTGTTTTCTACTTTCTCTCTCAGCTGGAAAAATGTTTGAAAAACTCTTAATGACATAGTATAGCACAGGGTAAAAAATCCACAGCTCTATATGAAAATACAAATTAGTTTCAGATGAGCAGGTCACAGTTAATTAACTCAGCTGCCCTCATAGTTGTGCTGAAACAGCCATTCTGCTTTTCAAGTCTCAGCTGTCTCACCCTGTGCTGGGTTTGGGTGGCACAGCACTGAGTTCTGCAGCTCTCTGTGATTTGCAGAGGTCAGTATTTAGGATGGACTTTCCTCTTACATCCTGTTCTCATGAAAGACACATGACCATGAGCCAACTACTTATAAAGAGCTGTGGTGGTATTTAATTAGCAGCTTGCAAGAAGTGCTTGTGTGTATCTGCAGTTGTCAGTCCAGGAACAACCCGTGAGACAGAAGAAGGAGTGAGGTAAAACACTGATTCTAATGTTTGATGAGCTACAGTACAGTTATGTCCAGAGGAGTAAGCTTTACTCAATATTATGGGCTGATCTTATATCTTTAAAATGGCCTGAGGATCCTGGGTGAGTGAGTAATAAACACATTTCAGCGGTGCTAGTTATTCAGTCTTCTTCGGAGACCACTCTTAAGATGAATTTGTGGGTGGGGTTTTTGTGTTGTTCTTTATTCATGTTTGAAGTTCCATATGGACCCTTTGACCTTTGGAATTCAAAGGAACAGCCAACAAAATTCTATCATAATCTTTTCCTTTAGTGAAAGGAAAGTCAGATAGAGCCATGTATGACTTTAGCAGAACATATGACTGTAGGAAAAAAGTGATGTCAAACTTCAGATATTTACTTTTCATTAAAAGTGATTAGGCATTTTCTCCATGTAGTCTGTGTGCTTATGTGCTGTAGTTTGATTTAACGTGGGTCTCTTTATATTCCTCGGAAATGTTACCTGAAAGAACATATCACAGTCCAGTAAGATACCTGAGATGCTTTCTGTTAGATCTGCAGAAGGTAAATCTGTATTGCCTGTGCAAAAGTGTGGAAGTGATTGTACTGTAAAGAAACTGCTATAGGAGATGTCAGTGATATTTCAACCTTGGTATAAAATGAGAAAAAGAGGTAAGGCAGTGGGCAGATGTTTACCATCAGCGTGATTGTAGCAATGTTTGATGTTACCACTGTCTTGGTTGCTTGTTACCACTTCTGTGCTGGTGGTTATCATCCACAAAGGTCTGCAGACATCTTGGATCCTATGCACTGCACTTTTACTGAAGCATATGAGAACGATCATGCTCCTTGTCTTTATGTTTTCAGGAATAACTCTGAAAACATAAACTCTGTGTAAATCAGTGCAGCAAGGTCTGTTGAAGCAATAACTCCATGAGGTATAAACTCCCCCTTGTCTCAAATAGGGCCCTGTCAATACCTGGTCTAATTTAAGGCTATGTTGAAGGAATTCTTTCCCTGCGGGTGAGAGTGATGCTGGAAGGAGCTGAGTCTGTGAGCTGTTGGCTGAGGAGGGCTTTTGCTGTAGCACCACATTGCTACCAGATGTGTGAGCTTTGCTGATTGAGTTGTTTTGTGATGAGTCATTGAAGTTAGAGTTTGAAAGGGAAGATTTTTGCCAGTTCTGGTGTTTGGTGAAGTGCGAGTAGCTGTCGTTTTCCTCGTGGGCCTTGAGAACATTGCTTGCATTTGATTTCTTGTATGTGTGAAGCAGGATTTCTCAAGAGTCATTACCATTAAAGACAAGTATGCTGCTGGCTGAGTGTTGATAATAAACTGGTTTTTGCATTAAGAGACTTAACACTATGCCTAGAACTAATTAGCAACTCCAAATGGGCTCGTCATTGATTTTAATATGTAAGCGATGATTTATAACAGTTGCAACTGAAGCCCATCCTGAGATAGGTTTGGGGGTTTTTTTGTTACTGTGTGTTGTGAAGCTAACTAGCAGTTTTGCCTGCATATAGATTTGCAGAGCAAGAAGAATCTTTTTAGAGTCTCAGGATTTTGGGCAGAAAATAACAGTCAGTAAGAAAGAGTTTAGAGCTTTTAATTTACACAGTGTGCTTGTGAAGAGAAACCATTAACTCTGAAGAATTTGGGAACTGTTTTAAGTAGCAGTCTTTGCCATGCAAGTTTCTATTCCTTCA